CCGCCTGCCAGTGCACATATGCATTATTTGTGTTTTCATGGCTGGGACTTCTCAAGCACAGTTTGTAGTCCCTTCAGCTTTTGTAGTTTTGTGTATCACCACCACTGAGAACACTTCCTCTGAATCCGCTGACAGATGCAAATCTTGCTTGGAAACATTGCTTATATTTGTATTTTGTCACATCCTGGTAGCTGAGGACCACCGGCGGATACTGTAATACGAAGGCACTTGTTCTTTCAGGCCTTTTCGACCAGCAGAGGAAACTGATGATCTGTAACTCCTATAGTTGTGTCTGAAGGGTCCTTGACTCCAACACAAGTTAGCAAGGCAGGCTAAAAGGGTCTGCAGACTAGTACAAGCCCATCTGCTTTCCTGTGTCCTGTATCTACTACACTTCCTGCAGTCTAAACATATTAATTCCTCTTCTTACCAGTTTATTATCGGTTCCATAAAGCTACTAGCTGATAAACTGTGGCGGTGGTTTTAGCACATGGGGTTTCTCAGCCAGAACATGTTCATTCTCTGCTCACTTCTTAGCTCAAATCACCCCTAATCCCTAGTGGCCTCCTAGCAGATAGATCTGATACCTACAGCCCTAAAACCAAAGGCCTGAAGCTGGTGACCTGAGGCAGACAAACTTCTGCCTCGGGATGGCTTTCGCTAGCACTGCCAGTGCACCCTCCCTCCCGTCACCTGTCTACTCCAGCTCTTCAGTTGCTCAACAGCTGAGCCAACGCTGTCAGAAAACTGCTGCCACATTCAGACGTTCATGAGCTGGTGCATGCAGCAGCGGGTGTGATGAGTGCTGACTGCTCTTCTCATCTTGTGAGCCGCTAACACTTGAAGCCAGTGTCCCTGCCATCCAGCATGAAGTCACGTTTAGCCCACAAATACACAGTTCAGGAATATTCTCCTCCTCCTCCTCTTCCTCACTCCCTGTGAACTCGGTGGTTTGTTTTACAGGCACCAGATGCCTGCTGTCCTTTGTTCTACCCCCCCTACAACTAGGGCTAACAGCCTTCCCAGGCTCAGAGCCCTGAAGAAGCTCGCCCTTGCTGAACTTTCAGCGACACTTTGTGGTCTGCACGTTAACACGCTGCATTAATGCAAAAACACTTTCTCCTAAATTCCGTGTGCTGTGACTGCAGGCTGCGTGTGACAAGGTTGCATCCTGTCTCTGGCTTGCAGGGCCCAGCTGAGCTGCTACAACAGGCTTACTTCTTAGGGAGCAGCCACACTTAATTACCTCCTTTAGCCTTCCTTCCATCTGCTCCTGGATTTTTAGGCAGTGCTCTGCTGCAGGAATGTGCTCGTCTGCAGAAGCACTCAGGACTGTTTCATAACGCTGCTCATTTCAAAGGTGGACAGAATCTGCCAGGTTGGACTTAAAGGAAACGGCACATTACAGCTGGGCCTCCTGCCCTGCTCCCGAGCCAAATTAAAAAGACAAACATAACTTAGGTGCTTTAATCAAACGCTAATTATGAGAAAAACAATACAGGCTCGGAGCACGTCCACATCGTCTTCAGCAGGCAGAGGCAAGCAGGCGCCGTCCCCGCTCTGAAGCAGCCGGATCACAGCCAAAACTCTCCCCAAACACGCGGCCGTGCCGGTACAGCACGGAGCTTGAGCTCCCACACCTTGCCTCTCCACAGCACTCGCTAGCCGGAGCACAGCGCTGCTCTGACGACAGCCACGCGGCTTCCAGGCCAGGGCTGACTCACGTCTGCTTGGCTCACAGCAGTGGCAGCGCAGCGCGAGCACACATTTTCCTGCTCTAAACTATTCGCCCAGCTTCAGAGCCCCCGGGGCCCTCGAAGAGAGACAGAAAACGCCGCAGACACGCAGCAGAGCATAGTGGAAAATGCCTTGTTGTCAGCGCAGAATCGGTGCTGAGGCAGGGCTCAGTCCTATCTCTCTGAAACTATTTGTTTCAGAGCTTAAGCAACCTCCTGACTAATTTTCCTAACCTCTTTATCTGAGGGCTTGCAACCCGCTGGTTGAGAAACCCAGTGCTAAGCCTCGTACAAACACCTAGTGACGGACAGTGCCTATCAGAGCAGATGAAACAGTCCCTCGGGGGGGCCTTTCCATGGGCTAGAAATAATGCTGGTGCGGTGACCCGACAGCCAGCAAGGACCTTCACCCTACATATATTTCTGTTTCTTAATCACCTACGTAATTGTTAACTGCATCGGCCCTTTAAAACTCTTTTAAAACCACCTTTTTTATATGTGTTCGTGATGTGGAAATATTGTGGACTGAGATCCTTTACACAGCTCAAAACTGCACAAATAAGCTGGGAATCAAGCTTTTTTTTTTTTTGTCTTTGAAAAGCACAGTTTCAGCCCTGCTCTCAGCCATGGAGTTCCTATTAATTTCTGCGGTTTTATAAACACTGTCCAACCCTAAACCAGCCTTCCCGTCACCGCCGACGTGTGAAAGTCTGGCCAGCTCAGCAGGGGCTGGGCGGCTCTCAGAAAGGAGCAGCAGAGCTCAGAGGCATCAAGCGCAGCCCAGCACGGGCTTGCTCCAGGAGGGGAGGAAGGAAGGGGGCTGGGAGGGAGGCAGCGGGTAGCGGCTGCCTCCAGACGAGCAAGCGTGGCACGCAGGTCACGCCACCCGGTACCAGCCAGCGCCAGAGGAAGAGGCAGGCTGGCGGCTCCCGGGAGAGCCGGCTCTCCGACAGAGCTGGCAGGCTGGGGAGAGCCAGGGCCAGTTGCCAGCAGGGCTCTCTGGCAGCCGCAGCTGCTCGGCCACGGGGGCAGAGGCATGGCTGGAGCCTGTGCACGCACGCAGCTCACGCAGAGGGAAGCCGGGTCTGTCCCCCATACGTGCTGAGCACAACTACTTGATGCCCTGCTAAGGGAAGGGGGTCAGGGTAGCAGCTCCTCGTGAGCCAGCCCTCCTGCTCTCAGGCAGGCAATCCCAAACTAAAATAAAAAAAAACAGCCATGCTAAGGCCAGATCTGCACCTAGGCCCTGCTGGGAGAGTCTGAGGCGATGCCTGCTCCTGTCAAACCTGCTGCTTTCACACAAAAAGAGCACCCACCCCATTCCATCATTTCCTCTGCGGTGGTTACACTTCCATTAGTCTGCCGGTGCTTTTACACCCCCCCATGACCACCACTCCAAAGTTTCTGCCGGCTGCCAATCCACCTTCCTAGGAGAGATCTGCTGAGCTGGTTTGCATCATTTTCCTCCCTGTCGTCTGCGTTAGTCATCACACCAGCAAGCAGGTCGCTCTGCAGCCTCTCACCAGGTGCAACATCTCTCATTTCTCCAGCAGCTTTGAGCACATATGCTAAATACCTTTTGATTTTAAAGTCTCCTGCCATTCCAGACCTGTAAAATAATTCACCCCCTCCTTTTTTTTTTTTTTTTTTTTTAATGCAGTTGTTGCTCTAATTCCAGTTTCCCCTACCAGATTGCTCTGCAGACATTTCTCTTCTGGTTTTGCTCTGTGCTTTGTCTCCAGAACTCATAACTTAGGCATCAGTTCTGCTTTTGCTTGCAGATTACCTTATCTGCAAAGGTTTCATGTGCTGGGATAAATTTCTCAAGATATAAATGCCTGTTTAGGAAACATCTTTTCACCTGTTCTTTTTCAGCCTGGTGTTAAAATTTCATTTACTGAAAACAGTAGGTGGATGAAAACCTGAGCATGTAGTTAAAATTTGATCATTCCCTTTATCACATTGTGGTTACAATTCAATTATTTTCTTTATAACGTTATTTAAGCCCCATCAGAGATTGTTTGCTTTCTAGTAAATACTTTGGGCTGTGTTGTTTTACATCAGTTTGTCCAGATTTTTCAATTTTGACTTGTCAAGTTTTGTTTCTCACATACATGAGATGTGAGAGTTGTTTTTTTTTTTCTCCTGAGAATAATCAAGTCTTGTCATACCCCAACTAAGAACTCAGTTTTCTCATTTTTTCAAAGATTTTTTTTTCAAAGACAGTGTTGAGAACCCTTAACAATTTTCTGATTAAACAACAGGTCAATCAGAAACTGTAATGATTGTAGTGTTTTTGAGCAACCTCATTTCGTTTCACTGGTTCTTCATGTGTTTCACTGAATAGTTTATGGGGGAAAAGAATGTCAAGACTGTAGCTAAGAGGGAAAAAGAAAGTAAGGAGAGGGGACTTGTGGACCTTACTGTATAGATGATGCTACTGCCTCTGTACTTTCCTAGCACTGATCCTGCAGGAACTCCAGAGAGGCTCAGGGTTCATGCAGGATTTGCTGTGAGATTACCTATTTGAATTCATTGCAGCTAATCTAGAAAAAGTCGGTTGTCTCACCCCAAAACCTGATCTCACTTCGCTATGCAAACCCTATTTGCTGTGGCTGTCTTATATGCGGCTCCAGCCCTCTGTTGTCTCCCAGCCTTGCCCTCCGGGCTCAGTTTGCGCTCCCCCCCCGCTCTCCTGCTTCCACCCCGGGGCCAGCAGGGGCTGTGTGTGTGCCGGAGGCAGCAGCTGGAGCCGGGACCAGCCGGCCTCCCCCCCGCCAGCCGCCCCGCAGCGCTGGGGACACGCTAAGTGCTTGCAGCTGTGAGGCAGCGCCGAGCTGAGGCGGCCAAGCCCGGCGGGCTCGGGGCGGAGGCCGCAGCTTTTGGGGGCAGCGGGGACTTTTTATCCCCTCCTTAAACCCCCAAAGGAAGCGGCCTCACAGCCCGGGCAGGAAATGCCACGAGCCTTGCTCACGGAGCCAGCGGGCTCGGGGCACCCCCGCGACCCTGAGGGGGGCTCCTCCGCCGCCACCCCTCTGAGGGCCGGCCGCCATGGCAACGGGGGTGGATGGAGGGGGGGGGCAGGCCCGCCCCGGGCGCCTTTGTGGGCTCCGACACTAAGATGGCGGGCGGGAGGGGGGCGGGGCTGGGCGCCGTGTTGGGCTCCGCCCGCTCCCTCCAGCGCGGAGCCGTGGCTGAGGCGGGAGCCGGGCTTCCTGCGCTGGAAGGCGGCGGTCACGGCACCGGCGGCGGGGTGGTGAGTGTGTGTGTGGGGGGAACCGAGCTGAACCGGGCTGTGGGGCCGTAGGGCTGCCTGAGCTTCCCTCAGGGGGCTCCGCTGGGGGCCGAGCCCCGTGCGCGGAGCCGCTGTGGGCGGGAGGCGGCGGGGGACGGAGCCGCTTCAAAATGGCGGCTGCGCGGGGCGGGCGGGAACGGCCGTTGGTGGCCGCTGGGTGACGGGCGGGGAGCGAACCGGGACCGGGCCGGGCGCTGAGGAGCCGCGCGGTGCCCGCTTCCCCCCTCCTCCGCCCGGCCCCTGCCTCAGCCCGGGGCTCGCTCCCCGCCCCGCCGGTCCCGCCTCTCGCCGCCGGTGCCAGCCCCCTGCCTCCTCCTTCCCTCCCTCTCCCTCCCTCCTTCCCTCAGCCTCCCTTCCCGCAGCCCCCCGGGGGCTGGCGAGCTGCCCCCCGAGCCCTCCGGGGGCTGCCGTGCTCGGGTCTTTGTCCCCGGTGCTGGCCCTGGCAGCCCTCCCTCAGAGCCAGGCGCCGCCATCTGCGCCCCGGGGAGGCCGGAGCTTGGCTTTTCTTCTGCTCCTCAGCTTTATGCGCGGTTTTGGTGCCTTGCCACGGCTGTTGGCGAAGGGCGGTTTTGAATTCGGGGGACTGAATCCTAAAATTTGGTGCCAAGGGGAAGGTACAATGCCTATCTTCGTATCAGTAAAAAAAGGAAAAAAAAAATTTGCCTTGCTTAAACCTCCAGCACTTGGCTTAGCTAGTCCTAGTCTGCTTCCACCCACGGACAAGCAGCGCTAGGATCTCCTTCCTATCTTCTCTGTGAGCCAAACTGTTAGCAAACGCCTTTTTTTTTTAACCAAATGCCTCGTTTTTAACCACCTGAATATGTGTTTTGCAGCATTTGCTACCTGAATTTGAATAGAATGTGGATCTGGAGTATGTAAGCTGATGCTCTAGTAGGAGCTGGATCAAATTTCAGGCACCTTATTTGTAAAACAGACCAGGAATTTGTCATAATCTCCGAAGCAACATTTTTAGTGAATTGCATAATACTGTGCTACTATTCCAAAAAAGAAAAAGAATCCCATGCAAATCCCCTTGTTTTCGGACTGTTATTTTACGGATAGCTGTTGTCTCCTTGACAACTTCTTTCATGCAGCTGTTTCAAACAACAGTTAAGGTTTTGACACGCTAGGTTTGGGCTCGTGGCACTCGGTTAGCAGCCGCAGAAGGGAGACGATACAGCTAGTCCAGGTACTGCCTCTTGGACAGAGGCAAAGGCTGCTTAAAGTTACTGGGGGATTTTGAATGCTTTGCCTCAAAAGCAGCAGCAATCTTGCAGTCATGTACCAAGAAGTTTTACACAGCAGCTTGAACCTTTTGAGTACATTAATAAATAAATTAACAGAGAGAAACATACTTAACATTTTTATTAATTAGGTTTTAAAGTTAGCGTTCTCTTGAGATGAGTAGTTGTTGGTGATTGCCCAGAGAAGTCTGGGAGAGGTCGTTTATTTGTAATGTTTTAATTGAATCTGATAATGGCTGTAAAAGTATTTCTTTATTTTATTGTTCTGAGACACACTGATATGACAAGTTAATAGAATCTGAAGAAACAGTTGCTTTGATGGCCAAATTCGTTAATATTTTTATGCTAACAGAAGTTCCACGTGGTTTGTTTATTGCTCTAGGGAAGAACCTAGAATCACACACTCACGTTGCATGGGAAAACTCCTTCCTTCTTCAGTATGTTAATAGATTACAGACTGGACTGGTCTGCCAGCGTCTCCCATGTCTTTTAGTTTGTGGATATGATGATAATGGTTCTTTTACTTGTGTGCTCCCATCAGCAGTCTCCCCCTGGGTCAGTCTACTATTCTGAGAGGCAAACGGAGAAAGGTGCTTCCTTAAAAATTGTCACGTATCCAAAATAGCTCTGGAAAACCTCCTTTGTTTATTGTTCCCATGACTGCATCATCTTTACCTGCACGTTTGTTGTTGTTCTGTAAGAAAGTTTACACCCATGTCACCTACCCTGAGCCAGAAGTGTGTCTGGCAGGGGTTTAGGGATTCAACTGCTCGCAGGCTCTTAGTGTACTTCTTTTATAGAATGGGCTGAGAGTATACCCCAGGAGCAAGAACTTCAAAACTTTAATAGCATAATCAGGTGTTTGGTAGAAATAAGGAATACTTACTCAATCTCTGTCACTGGAGTGGTAGTTGAGATGCCTCATGACCCTGTCTTGGCTGTTGGTGTGAGCTCAGTCTGTGAAAGAGAATTAGTTGGTTGAAATACAGTTTGTATGGCAGGACAGCATTTTAGTCTGAATATTTTGGGATTGAGTCAAAAGGTTTTGGCTCGAGAGTGTTTAAGGTGGCTTTTTTGATGTGGTGTTTTAATAAGTATGCAGTTTCTGGAGAAAAATAAATGCTTTTTTTCTGCCAGAAAAAGGCCTTTGTCAACCATCTCCCCCCTCCCCAATTTTCAGAGCAAGTGGTTTTCTAAAACCTTTAATTACCAACCACAACAGAAAACAAAGAAAGACGTGCATATGCGTCCAGTTAACTTATTTTTTTCTAGGTATGTACTTCAGCTGCAGACACTGAAGTGTCTTGTGCAGTACAGACATGTCTAGAAGAGTATCTGAGTTGTATTCATATTTTGTCTTACAGGGTTTTTGTAGCCGATTGAAACAACATTCTTTTTGGCTTTAGTAATTAAAGGAATTATTGCACGTACTTGATAGTTGTATTTGGTATATCGGAACTTGTTTTGCCTTGGATGTCTTTTGAAAACTCAGCCTTTATAGCTCAAATAATTTCATTACTGTAATTGCTTTCATTATTGTCATCTTACAGAGTAAATCTGAGTCATAAAGTTTCTGTGTTACTGCTAAAGGAAAATCCTACCTGTCTTTGCTGTGTTTCAGTTTTATGTTTGTGCTCACATACTCTTTTTCTGTAGCTGCTAAAGAGATGTATGGTTTTCTACAACAAATGTGTAAACTGTATGCTTTTGTTATAAACTTTCTTCCAGTTTTTCTGAATGCTTAAGCTTTTAGATGATGGCTGAAGATGTTGTTTGCTCTTTCAATGGCATCAGTACAGGGATAAGGGAGAGGCTGGTCCAAAGGTCGGGATGATAGCCTAGGACTTGGACTTAAATTGGCAGTTTCCTTCTCCTGTAGCAGATTTTGCATGTATTGTTCACAGATCACCTTTGTACTCTGGCTGTAAATTGCATTTAATCCAAATTTCTAGAAGTACCGTGAGGATAGAGAAACTGAAGCAATTGAAAGATAGGGGTGTATAAGTTTCTGACATGGGAAACAGTTTGGCTGTGCATCTCCTGTACTTGCCTGATGCCTTGCTTCCTGGTACTTGGTAGGTGCTGCCCTAACTGTTACTGTATGGACTCTTGCTCAGTAGCATGGGAGAAGAGGAAGGACTACATCAAGCACAATTACTGGTACGTAGCTTTTTGCTCCTTAACGTGAAACAGTAATCCTCTAGTATTCTGAGTGGACTCAGAAATAGGGTGACAAAGAACCTGGTTTTTATGGTGTAAGATACTGACTAGAAGTAAATACTTTATTTATTTATTTATTTTAAAAAAGGAACGTTACAATGAAATCCGTGAAATATTTAAGAATCCATGTAAGTTTTTTTCTCTTTTTGCTTTGTCTTCTCCACTTGAGTGCATGTGTGTGTGATATATCTATGTTTTCAAGTTTTGTGATATATTCAGTTATTCTATTGAATAACCTTAGAATTGCCTTAGGAGGTATCTAAATGCCAAACAGTATATGGTTGAAAACCAGGTTAATGTTCCATTGAAGTTCTAATTATTCTTTACAAGAGAAGAAGTTCAAATAAAAAGAAGCTTTAAACTCTGCACAGAATGTGTAAAGCTTAATAACATAATTAACCCTGTATGAACGTCGGTCCCCAAAGATGTCTCCTGGAGGTTGTTTCACATAGGGTGTGTATGTGTACATACAAATGTGTATGAAAAGTGGTGTATCCCCAGCTGTGAAGTTTGAAGGAATATCTAAAAGTCTAAAGGTTTGAAGGAATATCTAAAAGTAGAAACTTGGGTTGTTTTTAATGGGAATAATGCAGCTATGTTAAGTTATAGGAAACATTTTTTGCAAAGAGCTTCAAAAACATTTAACGTATTGATAGTCCTCTAATAGCTTTTAAGAAATCAGTTAAACATGGCCTTAAAATGAAGTTCCTATATTCTGTGTTATAGTCTCTGGAGAAATCATAATACAGAATTTTGTACCTTCAGTGGAAAGAAGTTTCTCAGAGTCAGCAAATCCAACACAAGGTTAATTCACAGATACAGACAGCAGTGTAAGAAGTGTGATACAGGGTCCTTGTTTATGTAGCTACAATGTTATTCCCAGGTTTTCAGGGCAGATAACTTTGTAATGTAGGATGAAAGGAATAATGTAGTTGCACTTTGGATTTTTACTGACTCTGAAAGAGATCTCTCTGAAAATATGGGAACCATTCAGTAGCAACCAAAAAAGTGAGACAGAGGTTTGGGCTTACCAAGAGAAGTGGAATAAAAGACATTGCAATACTAATTGGGCTTTATCGGCTTTGAGCTGAAAAACGTCATTCTGATCAGGTCACTACATTAAAAATCCCCAAAAAGAGGAACCATAAGGGCAGAAGACTTGGAAAGGACATAAAATGTGCATAAATGTAAAGATTAGGTATTAGCTTTCATTTGCATCCTAGCTTTTATAAGAATAAAAGAAACAACATCCATTGTATTTACAAAAAAAAAGAAAGGTATTTCAAGAGATCAGCTGTAATACTTCACTCACGTGGGGCACTATTGTAAAAGTGAATGCAATTCAGATGAAGATCCGGAGGCTAGTGCTTGAGATTCATACCTTGGCTAATTCAGCAAGTGATTTTTTTGGGTGGAAATAATCCTAAGCCTTCATGCACCCCACTTACTTTTAGCTGGTGAACCTAAAATAGGAATACAGGAGTTTTGTTTTCTGTTAGTCAGCTGGGAAAGAAGTACATCCCATACGGAGGATGACTCTGCCTGTCTTTACTGGAATTGCACAATTCGCATTGGAATTGCACTGTTCAGTTACTCACTCAAGTAAGGGAACCTGAAAGACTGCTATAGACACCTCAGTTGAATGTCTGAAGTTATATGGAACAAATGGAGATGTTACACTCCAAGTAGCCAAAGTAACCTAACCTTTTCAAATATGCTGTCCATGATATATGTTTTTTCTTTTAAATGTTGCTGTTAGGCATGTTGGTGTTCTCCAGGGGTCAAATCTTTCAAAGATGGTGTGCCAGGTTGTATTTTTATTTCCAAAATTAGAGGTTAATCATGCCAGTAGAAACTCAGGAGGAGCGAGGAGAAGCTGCCTCTCTGCTAGGTGAAAAACAGCCGTTGAGATGTTCGCTTCTGTGCGAAGCAGTGGCTCCTGACTTCCATCAAGTTTGGAACTTAATGGGAACCAGGAGCTGGGAGCCTCTGCCTCTCTCAGATGCCACTCTCCGAAGCCATGACTCGTGGACCTGCTCACCCCTGGTTCCCGAATATCGTCTTTGGGATCCAGTCCATATGTTCCTGACCCCTGTTGTACCACACTGGCCATTCTATAACCTGGTATGACAATTCTGATGTTTATATCTTCAAAGAACTTGCTGTTCGAATTTCAGTTTTCTGTTTTAAGTCTCTTTTTTCCTCCTTTTGAGCTGTTTATGTTGTACAACGGGTTTTTTATTTATTTATTTTAACAGGACACAATGTTTGTGCGAGGATTAAAGAGAAAATGTTTCGATGGCGAAGAAGATATTGAAGGAACTCTGGCTGGTATTAAGGCTATTCCTTCATACAATCTTCAGCGACAGTCACTTTTAGATATGTCCTTGGTTAAACTTCAGCTGTGTCACATGCTGGTTGAACCTAACCTTTGTCGTTCGGTACTTATAGCCAACACGGTACGCCAGATCCAAGAGGAAATGACCCAAGATGGGACTTGGCAGATGATAAATACGCAGAGCACAGGCCAGGCATCTGTGGATCGTCTTGTTTCAACAGATATCCTCTGTCGCTCATCTAGGGAACAAGCTGAGGGAAAGCATGTTCCAGGTTACAGTACTTTCAGTAAAGACTTTGAGGGCGACCAGGCACAAGATAGTTCAGAAACGATGTCAACAGCCTCTTCAGTGCAAGCTCCGAGAAACCTGCCAAGTAATGTGTGGGAAATGGAGAATCCACAGGAAAACAAAGGAAACTTTCAAAAATCATTAGATCAAATATTTGAGACACTGGAGAACAAAACTCCTAATTCAGTGGAAGACCTCTTTTCAGAAGTTGACAACTCTTACTATGATCTTGATACTATGTTAACAGGCATGATGAGCAACACGAAAATGGGACACTGTGATGGGCTAGAATCATTTTCTTCTCCAACAACTACAACTTCTAGCTCTAATTGTAAATCTGATCTTAACGAGCTTGATCATATTGTGGAAATCCTTGTTGAATCCTGAAACTCCTTGTGTAGGAGAGAGAAATGTGTTAATGGAAAAAAGACTCAAGGAAAGCTATTTCCATAGTTTGCTCTATCAAATCTGCACGTGTATTTTACAAATATCTATATATTATATAGATATATATATTAAAAAAGCACTTCATATTGCAAAATAGTGTTAACTCTTAAAGTTAACCTGCAACTTGTAGTGTAATAATCCAATTTCTTGTCCACTGAACTGTAAGTACATACAGTAAATGGTTAAGTATGGGGTCCAAGGCTTTCAAAATTGGGTTCCTTTTACCAATTTGCTTTAGCCTTTGATGGAGGACATGCTCACTGAAAGGAGAGATGAGAGAATCCCTCCTTCTTACCCTTCTCCCAGTGAAAATGGTAATAAATAGAGAGAGAAGTTGGTCAGCTGTTTTCCTATTCTCCTCTAGTTTCTACTTTGTTACGGGACATAACTCCTACTATATCTGCTGCTTCTGATCTAAGTTGCTACATGGCTCTTAAAGAGCAGTATGCAATGGTTCTTGTTACTCTAGCTAGCTTATTCTGGGTTTTGCTACAATTTTTACTTTAAAAATAGTTTTAAAGTGTTTATTGGTGTTTAGATTTTTCCAGGTATTTTCCTAAAATATATTTTTACTACAGATGTTATGTCAGCTGCTAACTTAGCAACTTTTGATCATAACTGCAGTTGATGTATTTTTTAAAAGGTTTTCAAAAAGGGATGCTTTTTTACTGTGAGCTACCCAATGTAGTTCAGTAAAGTGTATGTAAATGTAAATATACGATTTTATACTTTACATTAAAATGTAAGAGCTGTTTTCATGAATCTGTTTTTATAGAGTAGTACTTTACTAAATTGAGAATTGTACAATTACGCTTTTTATACCCCATATACTTGAGTATCATTAGAGGAAGAGCTCTGATCCAACTAGATACAATTAAATTTAATTAATTTCAGACCGTATTTTTTGTTAACTGCAAACCTAAATTACCTAGGTTTTTATTTATGTGTATTTATATGTAAATGTCATCAAGTGAATTGTTTATCACTGAAGTCTACCATCAAATATTTGTTTATATGGGATAACTATCTTGCACTAATTACTACAAAAAGTGTTACTAGCGGCCTTCAAATCTCAACTGGTATGTCTTGATGTCTTGTCATAATTAGTATGCTCCACTCTTACCAAGGGTTTCCTCTTGCCTTTTTTTTTTAATAACAAAAGATAATACAACATGGGATGGTGTTCTTTTCTTCAAGTACTCACATTTATTCTGGAGTGTGTATAATTAAGTGTATTCCTATGAGACTTTTTTTTTGGGGGGGTGGGAGGGAGGGTAGAAGAAGTACAGTGTATGATGATGTTACACCCCCCAAAAAAATGTACCTCCAAGCTCATGCTGGGGAAGAGGCCTGAGCTAGCAGGGAGGTAGGCAGGGGGAAGATTGCTTGGTTTCTGGAATGTTTTAGTGTTGGCTGCGTGAGGGGAAGATAGCCTCCAGTAACTTAGTTGTTTTCCATAGACTTGAATCAAGCAAGTCACTGAACATGAAAAGAGTACGTTTCTGTGTCCAACAGACAGTGCTTTCCTGCAAGTGACCTTAATTACTACGCACCATCTCTTCCAGGTTCTCAAACACTCCTCCCCTTCTGGGGAGATGTTAAGGATGTTCCAGCATCACCTCCACAAAAGGCAAACGCTGAGCTTATGATTTCAAAAGTGCTTCAGAAGCATCTGATCTGGGGAAAAGCAACATTATTTTGATAAATTACTTAAACTTGATAGTTGAATACATATTAATCCATATTTGCTGTAGTAGTTAAGAATTACTTTCTTGATAGTTGATTAACTAACTGTATTAGAGTGTGAAACACTATATAGACACTTGCAATTTCAGTCCTTATAATATGGCTAGACCAAAGAAACACAAAGTATTACTGGAAAACAATAGGACATCACCAATTGCTGGAAGGTGTGCTAGTACCCTGTCATAATTCAGGAGGATGCAAACTGTCATACCTCATGGTGAAATAATAGTCTGTTTTATTTGGCAGTGTTAGTGTCAGAGATTCCTTCCGAAGTTATAAGTCAGCAGGAAAATTTGCCTGATGCTTTTTTGTGTGTGGATAGATGCATTGAAATGGACAGCAGCTGCCTTAGGGTAAAGTAGCCAGGCAGTTTCCAAGTCTTCTAAATGGAACATTAGTGGTGAGTGGAACAAATACCTTCTGTACCTCTGGGAAATTGCCCAAAAGCTGCTCTGAACAGTGATGGTTCAAAACCCCTAGGTTTGAACAACTGAGTGTTCCCCTTCCCCCTCACATTTTTGTTAAATGGGAAGCTTCAAGTGTAAATATTTAAAATGCTCACCCCTTCCTCCTCAGTGTGCTTCAGCCTTCCTGTTAAAGGTAGGAGTTACTATAATTCGAATTACTATTATTTGTTTGTATAACTCTTGCACTGTGTATGTATGATCACACCAAACATCTAGACAGGAACATTCCTTTACTGGGGAAGCCATGCCCAGCTCAGAATAATTTGTAGAGACTACTTGGCTTAACTGGAAGGGTATTAGGCAAGTATGCATTTATGTAGTTAAGTATTTAAACAGGAATATATATCCTGTTTTATTATGTTCTTAAAACTTGTGCCAAAACGTATGTGCTCTTACACGTCTGATGTCTTGGCTCAAGTGTTCAGCAGGTATAAGAATTCGTATTGCTGAAACTTGCACAGTCACTCTGCAGATGTGTACTCGGAGCTGCTCTGACTGCAAGTCAGCGTACAACCTGCACGTCTCCCTGCTGCTTTTTTGCAGTGCCTCACACAAATTCTGCTGCTCATTTGGGGTAGCTTCACTTCTATAAAAAATAACTTTCTAGCTTGTATTGTCATTCCTTTGCTAGTCCAAAGAGGTCATAGTTGAATATGCATCAGTTAAAGGTTAATACAATATTATTCCCTTCTATGTTCCTCTGTGATACAGAGAGAGATTAGAAAGGATAGTGCTTGTAAGGTGTTGATTTTTTTTGTGTGTGTGAATTGTGAAACGGGGATGTACGGTATTTGCTGATGGCAATTTTCTGAATTTTGGCATGTAAAGGGAAAAAAAAATAACCTCTGTTACAGCTTCTATAAGGTTCTGCTACCATTTCTTGTGGCCTCTTTTATGTGTTCCTGGGGAAGAGAGTCACAGAACTTGTACAGCAGTCAGCACTGCATCTGAAACTAAGCTGTTGGTCTGAATGACATAACTCGGCTTTAGATTCGCACAGAAGAAAGTACCTTCAAACACAGCTAACCCCCAGTCTGCTTCATTCTCAGGTAACCTTGAATATCTGTCCCCTCTGCTTCTGTGCCTGTGGTTTTGTTTCTCTTCTTTTGCAGTAAAGTCCAGAACACGTGGATGGGGGCTCTGGAGTTTGGGCCTTCAGCAAAGGCAAAAGTGTGAATCCAGGCTGAGTTAAGGATGGCTTGTGTACTTGAAGGCATGTCTGCTTATTGCTTTCCTTTTAATATATTGATTTTTATTTGAACCCTTTTCTCATCCACAGCTCTATGTGAGTTTTTGTAGCGCAAGATGTTGCCTAGCGCTATGAATGTAGCCGTATTTGCATAAAGGATAAATCTGTTAAACAAGGAGGGAATCATTTATTTGGATGAAAAACACCTTTCCAAACTGTCTCAAAGGTACCGCAATGAGGGGTTGTGACTGGCTTTCATCCTTTAGCAGGTTGGGGATTCTCACAGGAGTCTGCTTTTTACCTGTGCTTGAGGCTGTCCTTGGTCGATTTTTGAAGTCTCAGGTATGTCTGGACTGGTGTAGCAGACATTTTAAAAAACATTATTGTAAATTGACTGATGATACAGTTTCATACTGTAATTATCAGTCCATTACGGATGTCTCGTGTCTCAGGGTATTGATTGGAGTGTATGACTGCTTTACAGTTTTGCAGCTTAATTTATATTCCCATATAACCAAACAACCTTTGCAAAAGCCAGGGTGAAAAAAAAAATCCTTTTATTTGCTGACAACAGCATGAGACAGAAACGCTTTCAAAAGTGAGTTCTGTTCAAAGTGAAAGTATGTTTATGGCTCAGGACTAGGATGTATAGTCCCATATGCAAAAAAAACATTACCGATGATGACAACTTTTGATTACTCATCAATTCCTAAATGAGTGTGATTTCGCACTATGTGAAACATGATTAATACTAAAAGTACAAAAACAAATTAGCTTTAAGACTCCATAGCAAAGAAATATATACATTTTAAACAGCAAATAAAATGTATTTTTGTCATTTCGGTTCATTCAACAACAAGGTCTCGCAAGGATTATCCCAACTTGTTTTGGTGTCTCTTGCAAAACTGACAGTTAAAGTAATTTTTTGTTATTTTTTCAAGAAAGTTCCATGAAGAGATGAAATCCATTAATAATTCAAGTTGTCAAAGAAGATATACTTAAGTTGTATGTAGTGACTTGTCTCTTTTTTATGGATGGTGAAAAATACTAAAATTTCATTATTTGACATGATTTTCTTAAGTTCGTATGGTAGCTTTTTAAAAAAAATAAAAAATACATCTACTCCTTTACTTAACTAAGATTCTCCTAAAAATGAGTGTTTTACGATCTGAAGAATTATTGTGGTAAATGTTGATGCAAGACCAACTTGTCAACAAGAAAATATATAGCTAGGGGCAACTTCCCACTGCAGGGAAAACATTCAGTAATTTCAACTGTCATCTTTTTAGGGAAGAATAATTGAAGATACAGGTGATTACATGACTTCTTGCAAAAACAGAATTAAAAAGAAATTGTATCCACATGTCTGCTCTATTTGGAAGTCCCCTAGGAGCATGTGAGAAGTGGCAAGTAAGTACTGCAGCAGTAAAGTGTTACGAGAAGGGAACCGTGCATCGTAATTCTCATGTGCCCCTGACAGACAAGTTTTGGAGATCAAGAAAATGTAATTTTGGTCTCCGGTTGTGCAAATTTCCAAAATGAGACTCTAAGGAAGAGTAGGTTATCTTGTTTGAAGAAACACCAAAAGAGTTTAACGCTCAGAGGACAAAAGCAGTGCTTACAACAAATTCACTTCTGTGTGTTTGAGAGAAATGTGAGACGAGTACCAGGTGGATTTAATTATTTATTTACTGTGAATTGACTGAAGTTTAGGATTAAATTTTTGAATGGTTATGTTTTTAATTGAAGCCCAGTAATGTGGTTTGCTTCTGTGCCTCTGCTTGCTTTGAAAGGTATGGAGAGAAAGCACCTTTTGTTGTTAATCAGGCTACTTGTGGCAAAACAGAATAATGGTTAACTTAAAACTCAGACAAATTTTCAATAATGTGTTTTCAAACAAAAATTTCTATCTGGGATCATGTTTTTTTTTTTTTTTTTTTTAATTTTGAGTAAGTGTAGGATTAGTTACTAGTTCATAGAGGCTTCAAAGGAGGTGGTAAAACTAACAAGGCACTCTTCTTCCCCATTTTCCTGTGGGAGTGTGACATAGCATGATTGTTCTGCCGTTCAGCTTCAGAATAGCTAATTTAACTGGATTTTGCTTTATGTTTAGAAAACTATTTTTTACAAGTGCGCAGGTGAAAGAGCACAAGAAACCGTGTACTGTACTGACATCCAGTAATCCAGATAAGGCAGAGAGACATTTTTTTAAGTACCTTAGACACAGAGTCAATTAATCACAGACATAAATCCATAAGAAACCAGTCTTCAGTAGTTCCTGTGTTCCTGGAACTGTTGTCTAGCTGCCTGGTGCTAAGGTAAGTAGAAGCAGCAGACCCCCAGTAGTCCTTTCGGATGAGTTATATAGAGACCCTGGGTGTGTTTTTTCTGGTTCATGCGAAATTCGCTGCAAAAGCAAAAACACTGCGTGTGAGGATGGTATCCTGGTGTGCGATGGTGACTGCGAGTCAGACTGAAAGACAGTGTTTTAATCATAAAAAATTCATATCGCTGGGTCTCCTGTTTGCCTCTAGGTTAGTTTAAAGCAAAATGGGAGAGCATTTAGGACTGTTAGAAGATGTGGGAGAGCATTAAGGACTGGTAGAGCATGGTATCTCTTGAGGAAGTACGGGTTTTCTCAAGCAAGCTCTACAATTTGAGGCAAAAGCTCCGGTTTCTGGGAGCCCGTGAGGCAGCACCGTGCTCTGGCTCGGGGCACGAGTTGTGTGGGATGGAGCAGTCACCGAGCTGGGTTCCAGTGCTCTTGCGTGAATCCTCCTGTTGACATTTCACACAAGCGGAAAAAGTGACAGAAACCTCTGCCAACAACCGCTGTCGCTTCTGTGGAGGTTGGGGGCTGTAAACCCAGAGCGCGGCAGCGGGCACTGGACCCAGGCCATGTCAGCCTCCTCAGGGCGCCTACGAGACCGAACTGACTTTCCCCAAAAAACAGCCGGAGGAGGCACGAGTGTCGTTTTCTGGTGAAAAAAACCCGAAATGGGTGACAAAACTGACCCCACAGGGCCGAGAGCTTCAGGGGGAGCGGGGGCAGCAGGGGCGGGGGCACGAAGGGGGGGGGATGAAGAAAAAGGGGTAAAAGTGCGCATTTCGGGGAGCGTTTCGCAATGTTTGCCCTCGTGTTATCGCTGGGCAGAGACGTGCGCGCCTCGCTTGCCAGCCGCGCGGGCAGCGGGAGGTGTGGGAGCGCTGCTTTGGGGTTAAATCGGGCGGGTTTGGGACAAGGCGCTCTGAGGCGGGGGGGGGGGAAGGGGGGTCTGTCCTGTCCCGGGCCGCGCCGTGAGGGAGGGGCCGCGGCCCGGGGGGGGGGGGGAGACGGGGTGGACTCAGTGGCGCCCGCCTCCTGATTGGGCGACGCCTCGCGCTGTCCCCGCCCACCTCCGCTCTCCTCCCTTTCCCATTGGGCCGCCAACCGCAGCCCTTCCCCTCCCTCCTCGCGGACCAGTCAGAAAATGGTTGCCGGGCAGATTGCGAGGGCCGCCAGCCAATGGGAGCGCGGCCAGCTGGCGGCGTGCGCGGCCCCCTCACCCCCCCCCCTCATTCCCCACCCCGCCGCCGCTGTGGTGCCTTGGGCGGGCGGAGGGAGGGAGGGAGGGGACGGCAGGGGCGGAGGCTGCCGGGGCCCGGCGGGGGTGGCGCCCGCCTCCGCCTCCCGGAGCCCCAGCCCCGCCGCAGGGAGCCCGGCCGGCTGCCTTGGCACGGCGCGGAGCGGCTCGCAGGTGAGGCGGCGGCGCCCTGAGGGGGGCAACGGCTGAAAAAAAGGGGAGGGGGGGGGCGCTGAGGGGAGCCCCTGAGGGGAGCGGGACCGTTAGGGAGGGGGTGGGGAGGGGGAAGAGGGGGTGAAGAGGGGGTGGGGGGGGGCTGGAAGTTGTTAGCGCGGTTATAATTAGCGCCGGGGGGCAGGGAGGGGGAGGAGCGCAACTTTTCGCCGCCCGGGATGGCCGCGGGGACCTGAGGGGGGGGTGGGGGTGCAGGAAGGGCCGGCCCCGAGCCTGGCGGCACGGCCGGGCCGGGCCCTGCACGGGGTGAAAGGGAGGGGGGGGGGCACCGCCCGGTACGGCCCTGCCGGGGGAGGGGGGGGGCACCTAACTTTGAGGGGACCCCACTGGAATTATGAGGGGGGAGCTGAACTCTCGGTGCCCGCCGCCCGGAGCCCGTCCTGCCCGCTTTAGGCCCCGGGTGCCCCGTTGGGAAGTGCCCCGAAAATAAAGGCTGGGGGCTCGGCTCGCTGAAGGGACCCCAAGGCAGGTAGCTGAGGAGTGCAAGGGAAGGCGGTGGACGAAAATGAAAGGGGAAAAAAATAATCTGCTGCGTGTATTATTCATAGCGATTTACAGCTACCGTGTGTCTTGTATAAGTTTTTTTGTTTTTTTTTTTAATAACAGGTTGTAAAATCTAAATCTAGTAACCTTACCTCTGTGCTCCTTGCTGTCTCTCGTTCCCCTATGAAAAAATGCGGGGGAAAAATCACAACCCCCACAGTTAATTCTGAACAATTTCTGTGCATTATATAATGAAGGAGTCAAATTTGATAACTCTTTGGACTCCACCTTCTTCTAGTAAAAGGTCAGACTTTTAAAATACAGGGGACAGCATTCATTTTTATATCAAAGACTTTTGGACTTTTTCTTAACTAAGGTGCTGGAGTCAAAAACTTTTAAATGTTCTGATGCACTTGTCAGCCTTTTTTTTTTTTTTTGAGAGAGTTCTTTAATGCTCAAAAGATTTCACACTTGAAAACGAAAGGACAAATGTTTTAAGTGCAGAGAAAATGCAGTCACTGAGTGTTCTCCTCCCCCCTGTGACTTAGCAAGTACACTTTAATAAACCTCAGTATTGACCTTTTAAGCTCTTGCTGTTTCAAGCCAAAAAAGATAATGAATTTTCATTTCTCTGTTTTTCTTTTTTTTCCTTATTTTTTTAACCACATATAATATGGATCATCTTAGGATAGGAAAGAAGCCAGTTTCTGAGAGGAGGAAGGGGCTACTGCTGTATTTATTACTGTGGGTTAGATTTAGCATTGTTAGGTCAGGGGCATCTTGCTGCTGTTTTACTGCATCTTTTCAGCTCCAAGAATCTGTAAACGGAGGAGCCCTTTGGTAGCACCAGGCAATGAGTCGCTGTGGAAAATGAACTGTATTCATTTACTGCTCCATCTGCCTAAATACAAGACTGGCTTTCACTAAAGAGTTGTAAAATAACATGAATTCTTGTTTCTTAAATGCAGTCTTTCACAATCATCCGGCTAACTATTGATCTTTGCTCTTGTGGTAACTTTGTAAAGTGATTGGAGCACTGCAGCTGGGGGGTGGGTCTCTGTGTGTACCTGTCTTACGCTGCACGCACACAAACGTGTCAGATGCAATACAGACAGAGGGCTGCTAGCCTGCATAAGGGCTTTTATCCTTGGAACTGAGGAACGTGGGTTCTCCAGGTAGAGGTGAGACCTCAAGGGCATGGATTGTACAATTCCTTCTGTATCTCCTAGCCTCCTTCATAGTTTACAGTCACTTCACCCTTTTTATGTGTCCCACAGTTTCCAGTGCCTTGGTCTAATCCATGATTTAATCTGTGTACTCTGTTGGCAAATTGCAAATGCTGCTTTATCAGGGTTTTGATGAAAATGGTGATATGCTGAATATAGTTTGCAATTAAAGAGTATACTGCAGTTATCTTCTTGTAGGGGTTTTGTGAGTGATGAAAATGAGGAAATCTGGGGAATTTCATAAAAACTGAACTTTTACAGTCTGTAAACATGAGGGGCTAATTCTGAAATGTACTTATTTACAGTTCGTGGTATAGGCTCTCCTGATTCATGATTTCTGAAACTATTACAAATTCCAGTAGTGTTCAGGAACCTGAAGAGGTGTCAGTGCAAGTTTTCACTCCAAAGCCTAACATTTGGAGGATCAGCGTTCTCTTCTGTAGTATTAAATTATGAACACATTTCATGTGCTCATAGGTGAAACTACGAGGTTCTCTTACTTCAGTTCATTAATGAACTTCATTTTTTCTTATTTCAGTTTGACTGCTTTAGTGGGATTTAGCAGAAATAATTTTTAAAGTTGTACTGAATTGTTTGTTTAATAATTCTGGTTTTAAAAACAATCATAGTAATGAAATATTCCTTTTTTTCTTTGTTTTTCTCCTTAAGTCACATCCTCCTACCTCTGTGGATGGCTTGGACTTGTGCATAGTTCAAGACTCTTGGATGACCACACTTTATGCAAAATCTGGAATCTTCCTGCCTGGACTCCTTTCAATTTTCTGAGGGTAACTACTTGTGTACTTTTATTGAATCATATCTTACGTGGATAGCCCATGTTCTGATAATCAGCTATAGATGTTATTTTTGTGGGTTGGAATGGTAAACTGAATAATAATGTTTAAAATTGTGGTATATAATCTGAAGTGAAGTGCTTTAGGCTTGTTGAATAGTATAAGCTCTTTGGTTTGAATATTCTGAATTTGAATTTTTAATTCATTTTTTCCTTTATAATGAGACAGTGCTATAACGTAACAAAAATTAGTAAAAATGATCTTAATAAAGATCATTGCATTGGATCCTTGTTAACAAAGGCCCCAATCTTATAGTAAGGCCCACTGTGCAGCTGTTGAAGCTGATGCAGTTTTTCTACCACGTGCCCGTGGACTTTGCACAGTATTACAGGCTTCTTGTGAGAGAAGGCACTTTGGATACTGGAGAAAGGTTGCTGTAGGCAGCTCTGTTAGGGAAAATGGAAGTGATTTCTGAGCTGGCTATTCAAAGTTACGTGAATATCCCATACAGAGAGCTAAAGATTAATGTTTTTGTTTGTTTGTTTGTTTGTTTGTTTGTTTTTCTATCAGGAAAAGGTACTTTTTTGGTTGCGTTTACTGTTAATGGTCTGATCTTGTATTTCTAAGTATGGGCATGCAAATTTGACATTGTTTATAAGCTATGACTTTTGTTCTTAATGGACCTTTATTTAGGTCACCGTAACCCTAAAATATATGCCAGTATTAATTAGGCGAATGTATTCAGTATCCCTCTATTTGAAGTAAATTGAAAATTGTTCAGTTGATTAGGACAAGCTCTGAAGAGGTTTGTCATTACATTTATAGTTCTCTTCAGTAAGATTTTGCTTAGGTGGAACCATGCTTGTTTGGATTCCTGTAGGTACTCATTTAATTATGATCTTGTTTTATTTGTGAAGTTTTCAGATTTTGTAACTCTTGATCAGGTGGTAGCTTTGCTACCTGTTATTGATCCTTAGATTAAATGATTCCAGACCATTCTTTCTGCTTAAAAAAAAAAAATTAGAAAAAAAAATATCAGTTTCCTGAAAAGTACCTGCTAAACACACACGTATTAAAAACATACGTTTGTGAGCTTTGTTGGTGTGGAACTACAGTCACAAGTGGAGAGGAGTGACACTGGTTTTGTGTTTGTGTAAGTATGAAAGTTTTTCTCTGCCTAACACTGATATTGCCTCAGTACATTTATACATCAGCCTCTAGTGACAGATATCAGCTGCTAAGAATATGTTTCATTTACTGTTGTAAATGGCCCAGAGCCACTTGTTTTTAACTCGTGGAAAGTACACATCATAACAGAGGACCTTCTTGTCCAGAGTGAAATGTTGGGCCCTGAAACTAAGATAGTCATGGTAGTTTATAAAGCAAATCTCTTACCAGTGCTGTATGAAAAAAGCGAGAGTAAGGAACATAGAAAGATGACCTTTAAATGCAGGAATTTTCAAAATTAATTAGACATGATACAAATAGCTGGGGGGGGGAGTTCCGTCTAACTTCTAAATCAAGGTAAAACTCACTCAGAAGTGCTTGGTAAACAGTATTTGAGTCCCTGAAATATTGTTGTATGATACATATTTGTTCACTTCTTCCAAAAATAGTGAAGTGACAGTGGGAAGGTTATGAATTCCAGGCTGTAATGCTGGGTTTGGCTTACTCTTCCTCTTGTTTCTTTCCTGTTCTAAATGAATACTCTTCCGCATATTTTTATTTGCAAAATGTGGGAAGGGATGTTAGGTGCATCCATAGGTATGTTTTCTATTTTTGTTGTTGGTGGTTTTCTTACTCTTTTTAAAGTCTTAACAGTAGCATGTCTTGGTTCTGTATTCTAGCTGCTTCAGCAGTAACAGAAAGACCTAGGTGTGTTACAGGTTGGGATTTTGTGACCAGAAGTTGACATCAGCTCTCCCTTCTCTGAGCAGCTCTTTTCTGGTTGTTTCTAACTCCTGTGGAGACGTGGTTACATAGGAGCTTAGGTATGGGAGTAAGCTGGTAGGACTGCACTCCTCCCCATATGTACATTTTTAGCCACCTCCAGCAGTTACTCATCTTGGCTAAAATGGGGCAGGGCGGGGAGGGGGAGACTTAAATACATCTTTGTGGATTTAAAAATGTATTCTGGTCCAGGTTACTTTTTCCTTTCATGTCTTTTAAAGGTGTTTTCCTTCCCTTCCTTCCCCTCCTTCCTCTTGATTTCTGCTCACAGCCAAGGAGTAGTGGTGTGGGGATCTCCAACGTTTGCTGAGGACACCAGATCAGATAGGCTGTTCTGTGTAGTCTGACGGCTTACAGGGTTACGTAAGTCATGTTTAAGCGATCAGTGTTAAGTCCGGATGGGAGGAAAGGATTTATGCTGTGTCTGTTAACTGTACCTTCAGCCTCACCTTTCTTCTGGGCAGCTTCTGATACAGGCAGTACTAGTCAAGACCCATCCCACCACTTAATTAAAGCTTAATGAAGTTGTCACCTATGCTAAAACCTATGGGGGATAGGGGAAGGATACCATTAAAACCAGTCTGCAGAATCTGTTGAATAATTCTGAGAAATATCCATTAGCTGTGGGGATGTTTGTCTTCCTTCACGTTCCCTGCAGATAGATGCGTGCTTGTGAAATGTGTCCAGGGAAGAGAGGAGAGCAGCAAATCAGGTTATCAATCAGCTTCAGTCAGTCACTAACATGAGCCTCTGATCTGAGGAGACTCCTAGCAGGCTTTACTGTTAGTTATTTTCCATGGTTATGAGCCAAAGGAGACTCTGAAAGAGAATTACCTAAATTACAATAGCAAGGAGTCTCTAATTTTGATGTGAATACAAGTTAGCAGATCTCCCTTACTGAAAACTGGACAGACAGCTTTCACTCCTGGGGTGCTTGCGCCTACTCAAATCTAACACTTGCGTCTCGTGAGGAACAGTCGTTTATCACCCGAGACAATTTTAGGCTGAAAAATGCAATGCTGTCTGTATGACAAGAAATAGCAAATTTGAATTTAATAACTTTGGAAGAGAAGCCAGAAGGGACCGCTATTGATGAAATAATTTTGACCTCCCGCCTAGTGCAGGCCAAGCACTCTGTTGGTGATCTTGCCACTTAAACAGTCTTTAATGGAAAATGAGTAATTCTTGTGTAGTTAGCTGGAGTGCTTGTTTTATGCCTGAAAAGTATGTGTTTAGACAACTTTAACTGTGCCAGTCATGTTTTATATGCTCATGGTTTTTGAAGCTTTTCTGTGCTAAAAATGAAAAGCTCTGTGCAGTTCCAGATTCTAAATGTTGTTTAACTTGTTCTTAAAATGTTTTTGGAAGGTGAGGTAGAAGAAATTTAGTAGTTTGCCCAAGTAGAAGTAATTAAGAGTTTTCACGTGCTGTGTTCTTCTTTGTGACTGTTTCCAGCTGCACTTCCTAACCATGTGTCAGTGGCAGCTGCACTGCACTATCAGACCCCGTGACAGATGGAGCTGTGTTTTTCCTCTGAAATGGTGGCACGAGTCCTGTATTGTCCACAACACGTTGCAATGTGAATTTTTCTTGGTAGGCTGGAATGTTTCTTCTGAGTAGCTGCAAGCTCTGACCAGGCCTGTTTGTTTGGTATTCCGTGCGGATCTGCCAGCCAGTGACGTGCCTCTTCCCTCCAAGTTTTTTCCAGCTCGGGTACAGTGTAGGATTACAGAGCATGGAGGCTTCTTCTCATCTTAGCAGGGAGGAGTTTCTATGAAATGGACTCCATGGAACTGGAAGTAAATGAGGAACGTGCTGTCAGGGGCAGAATTTTATGTATAGACTCCTTCATTGACATAAGTCGAAAGTTTGGCACTTCTAAATGTTGAATTCACTTTGCTTCATTTTCCACAGAATAACTTAAAATAAAAAAGCATTTTGCTATAAATGGCCCGTGGCTCAGTTTGCATTACTACAATGAGAGAAGATGAGAAAAAACAGAAAAAGTTTCTGAGATCTTCCATTCCTTATTGTTTTTTTTTTTAATTATTATTTTTTTTCCATGACAAAAGATTCTAAAAATGTGGTCATTTAACTTCTTAATGGTCAAGGAAAGAATTACAGTTTGCCTCATTTATTGTTGAACAGCTACACGTAGACTTCACGTTAGAACTTGGCATAAAGTTTAATTTTTGTTCAGTTTATTTTCTTACAAATTACAGAGTTATCAGATTGGCGTGTGCCAAAATCCTGTCACCAGATGCAGTGTTCTGAGATCTCAGTAGGTTCCTAGAATTGGACAGGAGTAAGGAAAGTGTGATTTCTAGGTGCCCTCTTTGTACTTTACCGTGCCGAACTTGTGCTTCTTGAAGTGGGCTGTGTGGTTCTGGTAGGACTGCCAGCTGCACCCAGCAAGCACTAATATGCATCGACATGGAAACGTAGTTTTTGTTGTGTGGATTCAGTTGTTTTTACTAGTAATAAAAATTGAAACGAGGGGAACACTGCATAATTAATTAATGTGATTGATATATCACAAAGTAGCACTGCCAAAAGAGAGTATTTGACTGGCTTAGGAGTTCTGGTTTTGGGGTTTGTGTTTTAACACACAATGCTACAAAAGGGCAAATTGCTTATAAAATATGAGGTAGTTTAAGAATATGACCCTGTCAGAAATTCTTATGCTAAAAAGTAAAGCAAAAGGCCTGATAAAATGTAGATTAGCTGGTAACAAAGGGGCTTTGTATCTTTTGTAGGTCAGCAGCTGAGTGTGTTTGACAAGAACTGAAATTTAATGTCTCCTGTAGCAACCATGACACTAGTCATTTTCAAGCCCACTGTACCAGTGGTACTCTGGTTTTATTAGCTCTTTTCAAATTTTTATGTATCCTCTGAAATCACCTCCCTCCTGGAGGGGAGACTTGAAGTTAGGGGAAAGTCATAGTAAACAGGCAGAATTTATGAAACGTAAAATAGGAGCATGTTTGTAAAACACCTTCTCAGACATCTGGGGAATCTGTTAACTAGAAACAGTTGAAGTTGGAGCAAATAAAGTTTCTTGAATTTAATTTTTATAGTTCAAGATACTGTGACACTCAAACTTTGTTATGTATTTCTAGAATGCTCAAGGACAATTTTTTATGAGGGAAATTTGAGGAAAGGAAAAGGTGTCTGTGTATATAAGCGTTAAATATTTAGTCTAATTAGACTACTGTATGACTTTAAAAGTTAAACATTTGATTTTAAGTTGTTCTTGTGAAATTATATATCCTCGCTTATGCAAGTTTGCTTGCTCTTAAGCTTGTGTACAGAAAGTAAAGACCACATTTTTGATATGTTAGAAATTAACTATTTATATAATTCAAACAGATAAGTCTAGTTTTCCCTGTGTGTATAACATAGTGTAAATATATACTTTAAAATGTATTAAAAGCAGTAAAGTGGCAAAAACAAGTCTTCTGAATATATAAAATGACAGAATTAGTCTTCCGTGTCTGGTCTTCATTTACTTGCCTTACGAGCATGAACTTTGGTCTGCGTTAGTGGAGAGAAAAGGAAAACAGCTAATATGGGAAGGATGGCACACAGAGAGCACGTAACTGTTCTGATGTATGGTTTTATTCTCTATTCATACACAGTCTGGGCATGCCTTAGGTAGCACAGCATTTAAGTGCTACTTAAAATGGAGAATTAATAATTTTCTGGATTTTTTTTCCAATCATTTGCAGACAGTATTTATCTCCATGATACGTCACGAGTTAGTATATTTAGTAACGGTCTTATTGCAAAGTCCTGTATAACTTGTAGTTTTCCTTAGATTGTGTCTGAAGTTACCGGTTGCTGGCAGCATTGTTGATAGCTTTGCTGGGGATACCTGGCACACGCGCACACACACACACAGCCCCCCCAGTGTCCTTCCAATTATTGTATTTGGTGCTGATGTTCTGAGTGCTCAGCGCTGCCTGGCTCTGTTGGTTCTAGGTAGGATGCTGAGATGGGGTGGGAGGATCACTGATATGAAGAGGCAGCCACATTCAGAAACCTTTTTTTTTTTTTTTTTTTTTTTTTTTTTTTTTTTTTTTAAGAGATTCAGCTGCTGCTGTGGAGGTTCAGCAGAAAACTTTGGAGTAAAGCACACTTTCAAACTTACAAAATTTAAACTTACATTTTGAACTTCAAAAGTTTGCAACTTCGGCAGAATTGTTCCTCCAGAGGAGCTGAGTTCTCCACCAGCCTAGTCCAGGCAGATGAATGTAGCCATGGAGCCCTGCAGTGCTTCCTGCAAATCTGGAGAAATCCCAAAAGTAAAAGAAGCTTTATCCTGCTGCCATCTCCTTGTCCCCAAAAGTCTGGCAGCTGGCAGCTGCAGCAATCAGCTGAGCTGTTGCTGGCAGTATGCAGTGCTCACATGAAAAGGAAGTTGGGAGGCCCTCTGCAGCATGCAGTGTCTGGATCGCTGTGTATGAAGGATCTGCCCTAAATCTGCCACGGGGTGTCTAATTTATGATTGCTTAATTTTTGTTAATTGTGTGGGAGTGAGGTCTCTGTTCCATGGGAACATGATGTATGTAATCAAGATTTTGCCAGTGTTTCCTGCTCATGGTATACTTATTTTCCTTGTGTGTACAAGTGGTTGCTTAGTGTGCGTTGTCCCTACTAAATAAAACACTTTGTATTTCGATGCTGGGTAGTTGTCATTCAAGCATGTATTTTGCTTGGATCACCTGTATTTTAGGTGTGCATGCCCACAATTAGTTTTGGTGTCACTGTTACAGACCTGCCTGTGTTTCAGTGCAAAAGCACATAGAGCAAGTGGGAACCAACAAAGTTCTACTTCTTTTTTGTATCTATTTAGCAGTATTGGTTGCTTCTAAAATTCTGTTTAATAACCTCCTGCTGGATGTTCTTAGAGTTAAGTCAGTAGCAGGTTGTAAACCAGTAGCCATGAGCAGTGATGATAATCCTTGGAGTTTGCAGCCCAGCCATGAATTGGGCAGAAGGATCCCCTAAGAGGCCCTGTTACTGGTCTTGCTGTGTGGTTTTACTGTAGTAAAACAATTTTAAGTCACCCAAGAAGTGAGTTCTATAAAAGAGACACTGAGCAAGACGTTGAGAATACCTTAATGAGATTAAAAATGGGCATTAAAACTAGTTTTACATTCTAAGCTACTGTGCCTAGTAACGAATGAATATTAAATTTAAAATGTTTAAATATAAGCATCTATTTCATTTCATATGGACATACGACTTTCATCACTAATGAATTTTGTATTCCATATAATTTAAATGGGTAAGGTTAAGAAACACAGATAACCTAGCATATTTTTAAATAATTATGTTCATATCCTCATAGCAGAGTTAAAAGTAAACCTTCAAAAGCAGTCTGAGAACTTCTAAATACTGTTTTTTAGACAGCAGTTACTGTGTTTGTCATGTTTTCTCTTGAAGAAAATCCTGTGAAGCAATAGAGTAGGAAAGTGCATCTTCTCAATGAGAGTGTTACGTAGGATTTTACTGTCTTTCAGTGCTCTATGGCATTAGAATCTAAGTCAACCAATAAATTGTACGCTGTGGACTTTTGAAAGTGCCTGTTGGGATCTTGCAGAAGTCTTGCCCAAGGTTAATTCAGAGTGTTTCTCTTTCAGGTTCATGTTGGGGAGAGGTCTAAAACGCAAGCTGAGTGACTATGAGGAGAATATGGCTGGTCTCTCTAGTGCCTTCGATTCCAGTCGAAATCTGCCATATCCGCTTAAGAGGCAGCTGGTGCTTAATATGTGCCTCACCAAGTTACAGACATACAAAATGCTGGTGGAACCGAACTTGCACCGCTCTGTCCTCATAGCCAACACGGTGCGGCAAATTCAAGAGGAAATGAGACAAGAGAGTAATCAGCAGCCAGTTAATGTCTGCGCTGGCATTACTCCTAGTACTCACAGCTACACAGGGATGGAGTCATCTGGGATTTCCCTACAGTTGCCTTCAGGTATTAGTCAGCAAGAGTCTAACTGTTGTGACTTGCGGTCTGCAGAAGACCAGATAGAAAATAGCCTGCTGATAGTTTCAGACGATGATATGTCGTCTGCTATTTCATCAATTCTGAAGGATTTAGACTTTGTAGAAGACATAAGCCCACCTACTTGTCTGGTTCCTACTGGAGATGACCAGCCAAAGTTTCCAGAAAATGCCGGTCTAAAGCTAGAAGATGATAGACAGGATTTGAAGGGAGCCGAATGCGTCTTTGGTTCCTTTGAGATTTCGAATTCAACTAGCTACTTGAAGGATTTGGCAATAGATGACATTTTTGAAGATATTGACACTTCAATGTATGACTCAGACTTCTGTTGCCCTCCGCTAACGCCACCCAGACCACCACCTCTTGCTACAGAAGAACCATTGAAAACCTTCCCATCATGTAATTCTTCTTCAGCAAACAACATTCAAATATGCAGAACAGATCTGAGTGAGCTGGACCACATCATGGAAATTCTCGTTGGATCCTGATACTTGTTTTACCCAAAGATACTTTTTGACTGCCACTTTCATTTGGTTTCAGGATAAAAGCCACTGGAAAAGTTGTAAAGAATTATTTAAAACACAAAGTAAAAAAATAATCTGTCCATAGTGGGGTTCTCTAAATAATTCCAAAACTTATAAACCAGAAAAGTGGCAGTCCTTTTCTTTTTCTTTCTTTCTTTTTTTTTTTTTTTTTTTAAAGAAATATTTATTTATCAGAACTGTGCAATCATCTTTTTCCTTCCAGGGTGTATGTGGAACTATAGGCACATACCCTTATCACCCCTCATGCCTCTTTCAATAAACTTTTTTATGTGCAATTTTTAATTTGTCAGAAGAATTTACATGCAAAACAAATTTCATATGAGATGATCTTTTACAAAGCCTCCACTTTATTTTTAATATCAGAGTCTATGCCAGGTTGGCATATGTCAAGTTGCATAGTTGGATTGCCTGGATGCAGACACATTACTAGAGATGGGTATATTTTAAAAATGAGACACGCTTTGCTTTCTTTTCGTCGGAAAAGCAGATCAAGACACTTGTCAACAAAGTCTCTTGCATTTTCTAAAGCATTCAGAACTATTTATTTTTGTAAATTTTATAGTCTTTCTACATTTTACTACGTTATTTCATCATAGTTCAAATATAATGGACTTCTAGTTGGATGTGTTTAGCACTACCTCTGAGCTGAAATGCTTTAACTCTTTCCAGTGCTTCGTCTAAGACTGCAGATCTTTTTGTTTCTATTTTTTTTCTGGGGGAAAGTACTTCTAACTCATTAAGCTGATCCTTTGACAGTGACCTAGCTGATTTGTGAAATCAAGGGTATTCAATGTTTAAAAACTTTTAAGTATTTACAAATGTAATTTATATGTAGATTGTGCAATTTAACAATTTTCCGTCAGTATTACGTGCTTAGATTTTGAATAATCTTGGCGTTCTTTAAATTAAAACTTTACTATGTACAGGTAGCTTTTTAATCTGTTTTGGAAAACACTGTCCTTCAGCCCTGCTTTCACTACAAAGTTTAAGATGATTTTTATGTGCAATATTATTTAAAAAGATACACGTTTGTATACCTGGCATTGTAGAAAGAAACGCTTCAAACTTAAAACTTCTAGCACCTTGGGAGGATACTCGCAGAGTCACCGTTTCCGTATCCTTTAAGAGACGAAGTTGAGAAGGCTTCCTGCTGCACCCACCAGTGCTCGCTGTTCTGAATGCTCCTGGAATACTCGCTGGTAGGCGGTGAGTCAGTGCCGATGACTAAGAACCTTCCTGCAGCTGTGTCTGTGGGAGCTCAGGGGTCTGACTGCTCGGATGCAGCGTCAGGACTGGGGCCTGCCCGTGCTTCGGAAGCGTTCTGGTGGTGGCTGGTGGCTATGCTGCAGGCAGTGCCGAAGGAGGGTTCATGTGTGTGTGGCAGGTGTGTATATAAGTATATATAAGCGCACTCGTTAACTGAAGATGAGATTTGCAGTGAGAACTATTTTTTCTGTAAGACAGTTTGGATACTGTTTCAGCTTGAATTGAGGTCTGTATTGATCCTTGCTATTGTCTTCTGAAGTACACACTTGCACACTAGTTATTTTTTAGGGGTTTTTGATTGTTTTTTTAACTATAAAACTTTTACTTTGGTCTTGAAAGCTGCAGCATCTGTCTCATAAGAAAATCTGTAGTTGTAAAAGCTTTGCTTTGGTTTGTTTTCTGTTTTTGTTCTGCTGGGACTTTACAAGAATGGGGCATCTGCAGAGAAAGAAAACATTTACTGTGTGTTGCATCTCACAGACATTGGAGTCCTGGCCCTATTGATGGTGCCAGGGTATCACCTACTATTTCTAGTCTTAACTGATGCTGTAGCACACTTACCTTGTGCAAAGATCTTTTTATTTTTATTATTATTATTTTTTTTTTTACTGTGACTCTTGGTTAACAGTTAGCTGCCAATACAGTTTGGTTTCCCAGACCAGTGGAGAACCAGTTCAGGTCACATCCTTGCAGCCATCTGGGTTGTTTAGCAACCGAAGGGTATAAATGTATTTATATGCATATAATGTATTGATTCTAATATAAAACTTCTGATCTAAAGTATTTTGAATTGCTGGATAAAGGGATTTGTTTGAAGAGTGTATAAGTAGTTCTTGAAGAGGTACAGCTTCAGAATGTACACAGATTGTGCATTGTGTATAGACTACTCTGGCTTTTCCTCAGCCTCTACTTTTGTATTAAAGATATGCCTGAATAAATCCTTGAAATATTAAGGGCCTTCTGCACTGTGATGAAGCAGAGTTGTGGTTAAAAATGTCTTTAAATTCTGTGATGAGGAATAAAGTAAAAAAAGACTGCATTTAATTTCTTCTTGCATTTGAAAATATGGAATGTTACTATGCAGTAAAGATATTTTGGTATTAAAATTATATCATGTAGCAAATAGTGAACAGTTAATTAATCCACTTACCTTGCAGCCCCAACAGGGAGAAGACTTCCTTTTCAGCATTTACATGCTGAACTCTTTTGTACACTTCAGAAATAGATGAAATTGTTGGTACATTTTATCAACAATACAAAATGTGATTTTGCTTGCCACAAAGCTCTGTTTCTAATTGCTTGCTTGCATCACAGTGCCAAGACCATAAAGCTGGTATGTAATGCAGTTCGGTAATGTATGGAATTATGTGCAAAGGGAAGATTAATTTTTAAATATGCACAAACTAATTTTAAAATCCTTCCATGTAAAATGAAGTTAGAGGCTAGTTGTGGTGGACCTATTTATTGTATGTTTGGAAATAAAAGCCACAGTTTTGCAGTTTAACCATTTATATTTGAAGCCTCTAGTATTTGTTTTAAAAACAAACAATTACCTTGCCACCTGTCTTTCATCCTTTCATTTACAAAGATGAAACATTTTCCCCCAGGTGGTTGCTTTTATACTTTTTTTTGGAAATACATAACACCGGTGTTTTCATCCCGTTTGCACGTGAGTCTCGTCCCCACAGAACAAGGGATGTTGCACATTTTTTCCAGCTGGTGGGTGCGGTGGGGGGGATTCCTGCTGTGAACAGGTGATGTTTGTTAGCCTTCAGCTGCCCTCAGACTTCTGTCTTGGCTACCCTGTGGAGTCTTACTGGCCCACACAGTTGTTAGCACTGCTTCTGGAGCTGCCATGCTCGAAAGTAAGTGGCAAACCCAAGTTTTCTTGATGCACACACTTTGGCCACAGCAGTCCTGTGTACTGCCAGGCTGGGTGCTGGTGGAAAACTGTTGGTTATGCCATGAATAGACTGATTTGCTAATGCAAATTACACCAGTGACTTCATGTTTAAAGTTTTCCATTCTCTTCCTGTTGTGGATCTTCAAAATGAGAGATCCTGACTCTTCTGCAATTAACTTCATTTTATTGGTTAGACTGTACTGACTGCTGCGTCTAGATGAGGCATTCTTCCTGCCTTTTGCCCTGGAGCCTGCTGACCACAGCTGGAAGAACACGGATCGAGAAACAACTCCACAGAAATCTCACTTTGGCTGTGAGGCGGCTCCCAGTGTGACACTTGTCTGCATTCCTGGAGCAGGCTGCTACTGCCACTGCAGCGCCCACCCACTCCTGGGAGGGGTCCTGACATCCAGTGGGAGGAAAGCTGCCTTTATAAAGGTACGGTGCAATTTAGCTTCTTCAGAAAATCAGGGAGTCAGATCACATTGAAACTTTAAATGTGACGTCAGGTTTCATATGCTTTCCCCAGCTTTAGCCGCTGAAGGATCTGAACTTCAAAAGTATGCTGAGCAGCACAGCTCGGTGCTGTGCTGGGTTAAAATGTGGCTGGCCAAGGACATGTAGGCAGGACTCAGCACTCCGCCTGGCTCAATATTCTGCATACGCAAAGGAGTTGCCTTCCAGCTCAGGCAGGAGTGAAATACATGCAAGAAAGTAACCTATGCATTAGTGCTGCAAGGAAAATGAGTTATAATTAGTTGCAGAACTAATTCTGAGCTATTAAAAACCAGTATTAAAAGTGAAGAGTTAAGTTATTAAGACGCAGTGGTGAATCTCTAGAAGTATGGATTAATCCAGACATTCAGGTTGGAAGGTTTTTGGCTTTCGAGTATTTACCCACTATTCATAGGCATCTCCCCTTTACAGTAAAGGGAAAAGAGGGGTTGGGAGGGGCTGCAACCTTCCATACCTTTTTCCCTCATTAGGACGAGTTTCTCACAGCAGAGCCCTGTGCTGGATGGGCTGTGCTTTAGCACAGGAGCTGGGCTGTGGGATGACAATTTCTTGAGGTTCACATTTGTGCTTCAGTAAAATGGAGAACTCCTATTAGACATGACTGAGGCAAGCCTGTTACAGCTGCTGGGAGGCAGTTCCTTTTTTAAAAAACAACCTCTTGTTTTCCTCTGACTCATGCAGAGTGGATCCAGCAAGCTGAACTCAAATCCAGTGAAGTTTGGGTTTTAACAATTCGTAGCTCAGTTCTAGTCAGATTTCCTTTAATGTCTTAACCGGAGGAGTAAGTACTCCAGGAGCACTCCCATGTTCACTACCAGAATGCCAGTGTGCTTGTAAATGACCCAGTGCTTTGAGGATACTTGTAGTGTCCCAGAAGCCATACAAACCATACACCTCGCTGCGTGGAAACCTGGAAAAAGTGAGTGGAGCCAAACGGACTACAGTATGTGTTGCTTGAGTGTGAGTACAGCTTGAGGCATAGCGCTCTTGAGCACTGGGTAAACCACCTTCTCTGTTGCTAAATCAACATGATCCTGGCTCAGCTTGTGGTGTCTCACTGGGTGAATATTATCCAAAGTTGTGTAAAGACTCTGCAGGTGAATCTAAGCTGGATGGACAAAGTACAGCTCTTGAGCTAGATACAAACAGTTTATTTGAAGCCTTGAAGGAGAGGTTGTTGTTTCTATAAGAAATTGGTGTCAGCATGCTGAAGAAGAAATGTTTGGTATATTCTGGTAAGTTAAAAACATTGTGATGTTAGTAAAGACTCATCTGACATTAAAACCTCTGGATATGTTTAGGGCCTAATTTTCCCTCAATCTACTCATTCCTGTATTAATAGCTAACAATGTTTTAAAAGTGAGGAAGAGTTTTTCTGAACGGAAGAAAAATGTGTGTAGATATTTAATAACAGAATATTGAAAGGATTTAAATTATTATTCGTTGATAGAACTTAAAGCTGTAAGTGAAGAACAGTTCTCCAGTCTCATCTCCTGAACAGCACAGACCAAAAAAATTTTTTTTTTTTTTAAATAAGGTTGAGGGCCCGCAATTTTTGCCATTGGAGAACTCTCAGGAAAAAGATGCCCAATCAGACAATCCTGCCAGTTCTCAAGAAATGTATTTTTAGAAAGCCAGAAAAGACTGATACCAGTCTCTTCCCTTTTGAACACAAGATTTATTTTGAAACTAGTTTTCACTTTAGCTCTCTTGTATTTTCTGTTTTGCTCCATGAAATCTGGTTATGAATATGGTCAGCATTCCAAGGAACTTTCACAATTTTAGTTTTTTGTTTTATTTTAATCCAAGACTTCTGCATATACCTAAAAAATGGTGGGCCTATGGTATACTTAGAAATACTCAGATAGTATACTTAGAGGTATACTCATACTAGGGTCTGGACTGCTGTTTATTTTACCAATTTTATTTATTTATTTTTATTTTTAAAAAATAATGTCCCATAACTATACCTTCTTACTCTGTTCAATTTCAAAGATTGTTTGTTTTTGGAAATAAGATCCCTAAAAGTTTACTTAAGGCATAACATTTACAGAGTATCATTGAAATATTTTCAGTCTTTCACAATATAAGGTTGTTTGTTTGTTTTCCCAAAACTGGTACAGCCTTCTTTCTATAAAGAGAACATTTCAGTACCTATGCTTCTCATTTAAACTTCTAGAAACTTTGTTCCTTGGGTACGTTTGCACTCTCATTTCAAATCAGAAAAAAAAGGCATCTCTGTCTAGCTCTGCTGTTTAAAACTCTTAAATTGGTTTAGTTTTTCTCTTTAAAATCCTAAGCAAATGCCAAAAGTCTGGGGTATTTACTTTCCACAAGCACAGAGTACAGTACCTAGTTCATCAAAAACTAAGTATTTCACAGCTGAGAGCTCACAACTAAGACTGAAAATAACGAAATTCGTAGCTTAAAACATACTAAGATACAGAAGCTCTGTTTCCTCCCTGTACCGTTTTCACAGAATAAACACCTGCTACTACTTAATACAACCATGTATTTCAAGAGTTGGTGAGCAGCGATTGTTAGCACACTTGGCTTGATGCCCAGGAAGGCAACAAGGAAATGACAAAAGGAAATGAACAGTGAGTATTTGTGCAAAACACATCAGAGGGTTTTCCGTCACCACTCATTTCTGAGGATAAGAATAGAAGGCAAGGCTAGTCTCTACTATGCAGTATGCCTGAAAATGAGAGGCCTGTCTCCCTGGGCATGCTTTGTTGTCGCTTAAGAGAAACAGAGCATAATTTTGTCTTTGTGAATAACCCCAAATGGACAGATTGTGTCCCAGCTCCGATGAGGGCAGCCAGGACTCCGCAAACTTGAAGCTGAATTGATTTACTTTGTAATTTCAAATCTGTGAGTCTTTTTCCTTGAATAAAAGAACTCAGACTGAAGACAGGACTCAGTCAGAGGTCTCTCAACTGTCTTGTGCAGCCAGTGTTTATCAAGGTACTCAGGTAGTTAAAAAAAAAAACAAAAAACCTGTCCAAAAGAAAAAGTGGAGCTCACCACTTTTAAAAACCTCGGTAGTTTTTGCTTCACTGAATCATAAATGACTAAAAACCCTTTTTTCATTATCTTAGGGCTCTAAGACTTGCTACTATGAAAGACGTTATGTACTTGCCCTTCCCCTGGAGTAATGGTGCAAAAAATTCTTTGATACATTCATCCAATGCTAGGGAAAGCAAAGGCAAACTTTAAAATCTAAAAAAAAAAAAAAAGGTGGGGGGGGCCTCTGAGGTACTGTGCACCAGCTGCTGGTAATACATGCTACAAACTGCCCCTTCAAGCCCCTCTGCAGGGCCCTGCTTGTCTGAAAGAATAAGAGTGGGATTTTATTCTTATAATTGATTTCAGGTGTTTACTTCCAATCATCAATTACTAGCAATTTACAATTTTGTGAGTTTCTTACTACAGTCTATTTAATACTCCTTTAAGTGCTCTGAAAGACTTAAAAGGGAAATTTGAAAACAAATTCAAATCCAGTGTTAAGTGAAAAAGTTAACCCTGCTCTTGTATCCACAAGCCCTGCAAAACTTCTGAGAAGGAAACTGCTGAGCCACTTACATTCAAACAGCACTTTTCCAAATGGTCTCTTACCATTCACCAAGTAACTGATACACAGTTCATGTTATGCTAATGGCAATGAGATACCATAAACATTATTTAAGTTCAGTAAATTATAACATTTATAACTTCACTGCTGAACAGTTTGCTAGATTAGGAGTTGGAATCTGCCAGTTTCTTAATTCTAAGAATATATGAGGCATATCATTAATTAACTTTGTTCTTGAATATCAACGTTTGTTCCATGCTTTCAATACATAGAGTATCTGTCGTAGTGCTTTAGCATTCTGTTCAAAAAGCCGTCAGGCTTAGCAACTTCCTTAAAATAAGAAGTTGTGCAAAGTTCCCGTATTCAGAATGGCCAGAACAGTAAATAAATGAGTAACTTGCATAAAAGGTATTATCAATGAATAAATAAAGCTGCTAATGGACAAAGACAAATGAATTATATGAATGTCAGTGAAGTGCAGGAAGGAGGGCAACAGTTAATAATTACTATCAAATTGTAA